AACTCCTGGGCTCAAGCGAGTCTCTTGCCTCTGCCTCCCAAGTAGCTGGGACCACAGGCGCCCGCCACAACACCTGGCTATTTTTTGGTTGCAGCCGTCATTATTGTTTGGCGGGTCCAGGCTGGGGATTCGAACCCGCCACCTTAGGTGTACGTGGCTGGTGCCTTAGCCGGTTGAGCTATAGGCGCCGAGCCTATACACACGATCTTATTTAAGCCTTATCACAAGCCTTTGGGTTGGGTATTATCTCCGTCTGAGCAAACCAAGGTTCACATGATAAGACTTGCAGAGTTAGTGATTGATGCTGTTGCAATTTTAGTGATGTCTGCTGTGGTCCCAGGTATGTTTGGCTCCAAAGCCTGTTTGTTTCTTTCTCTCCTAAGGCCTTTGCAAGTCAGAGCTGGGTCAAAAGACTTTGAGGTGGCCATGTGCAGAGATGGTCCACTGAGGGGGCCGTGTGCGGAGATGGCCCACTGAGGGGGCCGTGTGCGGAGATGGCCCACTGAGGGGGCTGTGTGCGGAGATGGCCCACTGAGGGGGCCGTGTATAGAGATGGTCCACTGAGGGGGCTGTGTGCAGAGATGGCCCACTGAGGAGGCCGTGTACAGAGATGGTCCATTGAGGGGGCTCTTTTGTGAAGTGCTAGGTCCCAATCTTGGCTAGGTTTCTCCTGTGTGTTTATCTATGTCACAACTCTTTCATAGTTTAAGCTGCCAAAAGCATAAAGTCCTAGGATTATGTGGTCCAGCCCTGCTCTGTGACATTATAAGGTGATGTGGGTAAAGACATTTCAAATGAGGCCAAAACAACTGGGTGACAGAAAGGGAGGGGTGAGGGTTTATCCAGTTTGTGTGGGCTTGCAGCCATATACACACACATGTCCTGTGGGAACTTTCAGAATCAATTCTCAATAGATTCAAAGGGATCTTCAGGATGTACTAAATGCAACCTCCCCATTTTACAAAGAAAAGGTTAAGGGCCATGGGCCATGCAGTGGGCAGGGAGATGGAGACACTGAGCCTGGGTTCATAGCAGCAGGGGGTTCCAAGTGGAACCTCCCAGAGGCAGCCTTAGTGTCACCTGGGAAGTTGGGAGAAGTGCCCACCCCTACCCGACTCTCTGGGGCTGAGCAATGCTTTTTGGTTTGGGGCCCACTTCCTGGTCCAATTAAGCAATTTGTTTTAATAAGACTTCTCTACATCTGTGAACCACCCCAAAGAAGTATGCGCTATACATCACACAGCTGGGGGCGAGGGGAAGAGAGGATTTAACCCCCCCCCCCAAGCGCTTCTCCTGGTTCCCAGGTGAAAGGCTGGAGGGACTCACTGTCAGGTTTAAAGCACTCCGATATTTCAAAGGGAGATGACCCAATGGAACAAACAGTAGCCTGGCGTTGGTGTGTTGTCCGGCCAAAATTGTGCGCAGAGGAGTTAGTAGGGGAGACACTCTGGGCGGCAGGTTACATGCCAGGCTCTGGTCCCGGAGCAGCGGCGTTGAGAGGAGGGCCTTTACCCCACTACCTGCGTCCTCAGCCTCTCTGGTCTGTGGCGGTGGAGCTGAGACTCTGCAATGGATTTCCGCAAAGGCAGGGGGCCTGCGGAAGGCAGGCGGTGGCGGGGGCGCAGAATGCAAAGGTGCGTGGAAGGTACCTATGCGCCCCTGATGATTTTTTTTTTTTTTACCTTATCCTGAAGGAAAGATAACATCAGAGGTGAGGAAATAATAGAAACTGAGTTTTACTTAGGCAAGGTTTCTGGCAACTGTTTGGGAAATGGGATGGCGCAGAAGCGAGACTCTGACGGGCGGTTAACGCACCAGTGGGGTGGGAAACCGAAGGCTGGCGTGTAAGGTGAGCACAGGCTCAGCAGCGTCTGCAGGGGCATATGCAGTGGGCGAGGGGCGGGAGAGCCTGCCCCGGTTTGGACTTGGCGAGTTGTAGATACAACACCAGCGCACCCGGCGCGGAAGTTACCTAGAAGGTGCCGACACAGGTGAGCGCCACCCCTTTCCTCTTTGGTCCTCAGGGCCTTGGGCATCGGAGTCAGTCGTGGGTGTAAACTTCCGCTGGAACGTAACTTCTGAGGGTACGATTGGACCGCTCGTTCAGTTATGCCCAAGCCCCTAGAACCAGTGTCCCTGGCGCATAGTAGGCGCGCAGTAAACCTCTGCTTAATGACTGAATCAGTGGAGGATGGCTGCGCTCCGAGCCCGCCTTCCTCGTGGGCATAAGCAGTACCTGGGAAGGCTGTTGCATAATGAAGTCGCCTCGCATCGAACCTGACGCACAGTAGGCGCTCAACAAGTTGTATTTTTCCTTCCCTTTCAGAGTGGGCCGAGTCCCTAGGCGACCGCAATAAAACGGGCTTTTCTCCCTTGCGGCGCTTCCACCTCCCTTCGCCCCCGCAGCCCCCACTGGGTCGCCGGGAGCACGTGGGTCTGGGAGGGCGGGGAGGGAGGGGGCGGCGGCCGGCGGAGTCGGTCCCCGGCTTACGTAAGGAGCGAGCCCCGCGCGTCCGGCCGGGCTCGGAGGGAGGCGGGCGGGGAAGGCACCGCCCTGCGGGATCCGGGCCGGAGGCCTCTCGGAGCGCTGCCTCCGGCGAGGTGCGTGTAGACTTGGTCGCCGTGGCGGCGGGGCGCAGGCCGGGGCTCCTCGCTGGCCCCGCGGCTGGGGAGCGCCCCCGCCACCACAGCCTGTCTGGGCCCTCCGAGTGAGAGCTGACGGCGGCGGCCGCGGAGACCCCAGGGAATGTGACAGTCGCCGGGGTGGGGCCAAGACACGGACTACACTGTGCCCACGTGCTGGGGGCCAGACGGGGCTCAGCCCCGAGACCGCCCGGGGCGTGGGACGGCGGGGGCGCGCTTCCAGGCTCCACTACCCCAGCCTCCTGGCTCGCAGAGACTGGCTCGGGGATGCCCGGCCGCTTGGGTGCCCGGCCCCCTTCTTGGACCGCGGCGTGAGGAGCGAGACAGAGGAAAGGACCGAGGTGGGACTGGCCCGGCCGACCTCCGACCTCCCTGAAGCTGACCGCGCGGGGCGGGGGCTCCGGCGCCCTTTCGAGCCTGGGCGAGGGGCGGGGAGGGCGGCGTGGCGCCTCACCCCGCCTCTCGGTCAGTCCCTGCGCCGGGCCGAGGGGAGGGGAGGGGTTGTCTCAAAAGTCTCTCCTTCTTCTGCAGGGGCGGCCGGCCAGTCCCGGTGCGGGCGGACGCGGCTAGAGGTAGGGGCCAAGAAGCCGAGTCCCCGGGCTGCCTTCGGGCCGCCCTCCTCGCGGAGCAATGGCTTCCAAACTCCTGCGCGCGGTCATCCTTGGGCCGCCCGGCTCGGGCAAGGGCACTGTGTGCCAAAGGATCGCCCAGAACTTTGGCCTCCAGCATCTCTCCAGCGGCCACTTTTTGCGGGAGAACATCAAGGCCAAGACCGGTGAGGGGCTGCGGGTGCAAGGGCTGGGGCGAGCCGACGCGGGACCCGGAGCGGCCGGGAGGGCCCGGGCTCCGCTCCTCCCGGCCTCCCCGCCCGCGTGCGGCCGTGCAGGCTCGTACGTGCCGGGACGCATGCAGTCGGCCGCCCGCGGGCGCGCGGCTTAACCGCGCGAGGGAGGAGGCCGAGGCGGGCGGGGAGGAGGGTGGGAGGCGCCTGCGGCTAGCTCAGCACCCGCTACCCTGCCTCGGGAGGAACGCCCGCAACCTCCGGGCGGAGAGGAGAGCCATGTGGCGAAAATGCCGGAGCTGGCCTCCCACGCGGCCTCCTTAAGGCAAAGCGGTCGCCGGCCCGGCCCGGGGCGGAGCGCCGCCCACCTGTGGGATCCCGACCGCTGTGCGGGGAACCTGTGGCGCCGCTGGGCGCGCGGCCTCGGGCCTCTGAGCAGAGTGAGTCCGGGTGGCTTTGAGAGGCCTGTCTGCTCAGTGTCACCTTCCGAAGTAAACTCCCCCACGACCCCCCAGCTCCCCAGGCCGGGGCTGGGCGGTTGGGAGACTAATAGGAGATTTCTTATAAATGACAATTCGAATCCTGCCTTCCTGGAAATGGCCTTCCGAGCTGCCTCCCTTGGGCCAGAAAAGCCTCCCCTGGCTTTGGTGAAGTTGGGAGTTGGATCGGCGGGTCTCTCAGCCGGACAGTGACCATTTCGTCCCTTTCCCAGTCCCACTCGCGGGTCACAGCAGCCAAGCGAACTGGCAGTCGGAGGCGGGAGGTGTGGGAGCGCAGCTGCGGGGCACATGGCCCTCCTGGGACGCAGGTGCACGCAGTTAGCAGCTCTTGTGCTCAAACTTGGACCATGAACGGGTCTTAACTTTGCCTCGGTGCCCAGGGTCGTCACTGCCCAGCACCACCTAATGATCCCAAGACCTGCATTTCTGAAGCGCAGGTTGTCTGAAGGGGCGGATGGAGAACTGCACTTTGCAAAGGGGAGCGTGGAAGCAAGTGCTTAAGTGTCTGGGATGGAGTTTTAGTCACGTCCTCTTTGGCGGGCGGTCAAGGGAGCTGTTACCCACGTCTCAGAAGAGCGTGTGAGCGGATCACACTTGAATTTTCTCTTTGGATTTTGTTACCTGGATTGGGCCTGTTTTGATCTGAACACTGCATTCAGATGCGTTTATTCTGGGAATGCTTAGTGTGGTGTGCACTCTGAGGGAAGCACCGGGGAGGGGAAGCTGGCTCTCACTCGGAGAGTCTGGTAGGGAGGACAGGAGGAGACACAGCCAGGGTGGGGGTACCCCCATCATTTCCTGTACCTGACTTGGTGATGCCTTTCCTTCTGACACGAAGGTCTTCATAACGTCTACCGGGACCAGCACTAATTAGTGGTCATTTCCATTTTTAAAGGGGATATGATGGGCAATGGCTTCTTAGGAGTTCTGAAAATTTTTTTTTTTTTTTTTTTTTTT